TGCTGATAAACTTGGTCCTGGTATCCATGAGTATAGGAAGACGTACGGGGAGAACTATTGTATAGGACAGTTGATTTTTTGGCATATACTGACAAATACAGACCCGGATGCTACCCTTGCAAGAGCAACCAAGGGCTGCCTGTCATTGCCTGACATAGGTTCCTTTTACGCCAAGGCTCAGAAGCCAACTCAGCAACGCGTTTATGGCCCCAAGAACCTGAAAGTAATGCTGGAAAGAATGGTGAGTTTGTTTACAAGGAACAAGTTCGAAACTATCTCATGAATCATGATATATCTATACGAGGTCAAGGCTCAAGCTCGATTTTGCATTCTCGGTATTTTTGCAGGAGAAGTACCCACAGAAGCCGTGGCCCAAGGATCAGATATGGTCGTTTACCAACAGCAGTCTCAGGGTCTTTGGGAGCCCGATGTTTGACTCCATCGTAAACAACGCGAATCTAGACAGGGAGATGTTGCATTGGTTGAAGCACAGACCGATGGTGTTCCAGGCAACATGGGATAGGTGATTGCTATTAGTGGTCCCCTTGATTGAGATGCCGGGGAGAAAGAAAGCTGCTGTTGGATGGGAGGATTTTGTTTAGGAAACCAACCGTTAGTGTATTTCTTTTTATATTTTCTGTTTGGGTGATTCCTCCTGGAATGGTTTGCTCAATTTTAGTTGCCAACTTAAGCCTTGGTAGTTTGCAGGGTTTAAGTATGGTTAAGATCATTCCAGGGGAGCACGAGTGTCCTTCCAGCCACAGCAGCTCTTTCCTTCCTCCCTCAATTCTTGTGTACAGTTTCCGATTGTATATTTCTTTAGCCTTTTTATTTTATTTTACAAGTTTCTCTTGGTGTTTTGTAATGTGTAATTCATTATATAGGCTTAGTTTGCTATCAGTTAGTTTTGAGTAGAAAGGAGACTGAAAGGAAAAAAGTTGAGGAAAATATTGTAGCTTTGATTGTAATATTCTAATTTCATTAGCTAGTTTCTAACTATCGACATTTCGATGGACTTGTGTCTTTGTTGTTTGTGGGGCAAGGAAATCACTCGAAGGGCACGCCTTTTCTTGGGGTTTTTTTGATCGCTAGCTATGCATCATGTTGTAGAGGTGCTTAAGTTAGTTGATTAAGTTGATCTCACTTATAGATGCTTTTTATTGGGATTAGTTGGGACTTATATTGTCTTTCATCATATATTAGAATTTTCAATTAACAGAAAGTAACTGTAAGAGGCTGAAAGAAGTTGCAGGATTTGGTCCGTGAACATTACTTTGTTATGTTTGTTGTTCTGTTTTGTGATGTTAGTTATTATGATTAGTAATCTACATCTCTACAAATAATCTAAAGAGGATTCTCGCGGAAGCATTCCCCTCAACTTTCGGCATTTTTTATTTTTCTCTTTTTTTTTTCTTGTTATGTTGTAAGCGGTTTAGCCTCTTTCCCCAGAAAATAGTAATTATCTTCATACCTAAAATTTTTCATGTGTTAATTACAGATTTTTATAATGCGTTTAAATTTCCCAACCGAATTGTTATACCCATATGCTTGCAAGTTTTTTTTTGTACGTTAAATCAAATGGTTTTGATAAGTATTTAATTTCCAATTTTGACTACAAATTAATTTCTATAAATTAATAATTTATTACCAAAAGGGCACATATCACAATTTGAGTGTTCTCATTCATCAAAATTTTGAATTTGAGTATCCTGTTATCGATAATTAATTTTTGTAAATTATATAATATAGTCAATTTGAAATAGAGGTCCCAGGTTCGAGCCCATTAAATAGTAGCTAAAACATAAAAAGTAAAACACATATCATGCTTATAAAAAAAATATTTTTAATTGATAATTTGTTTCACGGAAACTTGATAAATTACCATTTTTTTTGGAAACCTATGTCGAAAGCATGATTAGATATTAAAGAGTTGAACCATAATGAGTTAAAATGAAAATTAAATAATGAAATCTTGAACATATGTCTATGATAGATTTATTCAATATTTCTTTATTAAGAACTGAGTACTTACTTAAAAATTTGCATGTGTTAAAATAAAAAAATTATTGAATTAAGTGTTAAATATCAGTTGAGAAATTAGAATGAAAAATAATTTTTTGGTAATTAAAGCACTATATTTTCATGAAGAATGCGTTATTAAAATATAAAAAACTTAAAATCCAAAAAAAATTAAGAATAAATTCAATTTATTATTCATTAATATAATCAATAAAATCTCCCGTCAATGGCCGTGTAAAAGCTAGTGTTTATCAATTCGTTTTGTAGCGCTTATCAATAATTTGTAATGTATCTGGTTCATAATGTTTATATGAGTGATTTATGTATATTATAATTTGTAATATTTTTTTTCCTACTTAGTAATGCTTATCATATAGTTTGTAATATTAGTAGGATTGATTTATAAACATTATAATTTGCAATGAAAAGACAACAACTACAGTAATAACAGTAATAAGTAATAACAATGGAAATTATAAATTTGTAAGCTTGCTATCTATATGAATTCGAAAAGTTCATATATGTGAACCAAATGAAGTTTCATAGATAGAAGTATGGATGGAAAAAAAGCTCCCTGGTTCGGATATCTGCTGACTGCTCGAACCTGAACCGGTCAAAATGAGCAAAACCCGAAATTATGACGTTCGGGGATGGGCAGGGAATGGATATCGTGGTATCCACTCCGATACTGGCCCGATATCTAATTTGCTACAACCCACAAGACATTTAGACTACCACCATTAATCCACCAAGAGGTCTTGAGGTAGGATACTGTGCTAACCTTCTAAAGGGTCTGATTTTTGACACCCTCCCCTTGATTGGTCACTTATCCATTTAATCATTTGGCAAGTTGTATTAATGAAAGTTGATTTTTATTTTATTTATTGTAATCTTGTAAATTGGGAAAACCTTAATTGTGATAATAATTATGAATGGGGAAGGAGAAAAACGTTGGAGGAAGAAAGTGCCTTTTCGGCTGCTATATTCCCCATATTCCCTCCCGAAAAAATAGCAACCCATCCCTCTCCTCTGCAGAACTTGACGGTGGCCCTCTCCTCTGCAGAAATCGATGGCGGCCGGAAACCATCGAGTTCCTCGCCGACGGTGGGTTGCTCGCCGACGGTGGATCGCCTTTGACCTGCCTGGTGGGTTGCTCTTCGCCGAAGGACGAGACACAGGGGAAGACGAATAACATGAGGGCGGCAGCAGAGACGAAGAAGAACGTGAAGAAGAACACCTAGGGGGTTTCTCGTCGGCGGAGAACCCGTCGGAGATAAAGAAGAACATGAAGGGCGGCGGCGGAGATGAAGAAGAACGTGAAGAAGAACACCTGGGGGGTTTCTCGTCGGCGGAGAACCCGTCGGAGATGAAAAAGAACATGAAGGGCGGCGACGGGTCATTTCTTACAGCTTCCTGTCGTGAAGTGCAACCCTACAGCGTTTGGGAGACGGCGACACTCCCATGAGCATGTACCACTGATCTGGTACAACTACCACTGATCTGGTACAAGTACCACTGATCTGGTACAAGTACCAGTGCAACTATTCGAGCCATACTTTCCACACCAAAATGTGACCATCCACTTGTAGTGTTAGATATATTGCACCTGTACAAAATCGAAACACATCCTAAATGTTCTCATTTCAGTGTTAGATAGACTTTGGAGTGGTACCATTGAAATAATACATGTATCACTGAACTGATATACCAGTGAACTGATACATGTACCACTAAACAGATACACATACCACTGGAATGGTACATGTACCAGTAGAGTGATAATTGTACCAGTGTAGTGATATCCTGTTAACTTCTGATAATTGCACCAGTTTTTTCATATTATGAACACAGTGATTTTGTTAATCACTGTGGTTGAGAGAAATAAATTCATTGTAAATTATATTGGTTATATTCTAGATTATTTTTTATCACAAAGAGTGGTACATGTACAAATAGAGTGGTACATGTACCAGTGGAGTGATAGATGTACCGTTTTTTTCTTATAAAAGTAGAGAGGTACATTTACAAATGGAGTGGTACATGTACCAGTAGAGTGATAGATGTACCAGTGTAGTGATATCCTTCTAACTTCTGATAATTGCACCAGTTTTTTCATATTATGAACATTGTGATTTTGTTAATCACAGTGGTTGAGAGAGATAAATTCATTGTAACTTATATTGGTTATATTCTAGATTATTTTTTTTATCACAAAGAGTGGTACATGTACAAATGGAGTGGTACATGTACCAGTGGAGTGGTAGCTGTACCAGTGGAGTGGTACATGTACCACTACACTGGCACATGTTCCGACCTACCACTAAACCGATACCTGTTGTAATGTACCACAGTACTAGTACGCGTATATAATTTTTTTTTAAACAACAAAAATATGAAATAAGACAACATAATAGGCAATTCCCATTCATAGAACTAATAACGGTGTTTCAAGTTGGGTTTCGAAAATTTCCGAAAATGTAAACAAAGACCAAATTATCCTTCAAATTCAAATAAACAAATAGTCCCCTCGAATCATAAGCAAAAGAGAATCAGTTGGCGAAGGATGGCTGGGTCACATGAGTAGCTGCAGGGAACAATGTTTCGTGTGCCTCGGAAGCTTTAAATGTCAACTCTTCAATTTGATTTCCTGCTAGCCCCCAGGATTCTGCCTCGCAATTTGATTTCCTGCTGGCATCTCAGGACCCGTTCTCTTCGTCATTGCCATTCCTGGTTTCATTGGAAGATAAGTCAATACTGAGAACTAACAAAACTACTAGTGTAGTGGTACTTTAAAGAACCCACATTATCTTGTAAATATCACTGCAGTGATAGCCTTAGAAACAAAAACATTACAACGAACAACCACTTTAGTGATATTTGAACCACTCCATCGCTAGATCTACCGCTGCATGTGGAAGATTTACCACTATATTGATAGATATACCACTATAGTTATACATCTACCACTACAGTGATATAGCTACCACTATAGTGATAGAACTACCAATACATGAGCTACCTGAGTTTCTTCGTCGTCGTCTTCGCCGGGAAGGGGAGGAGGGCCACCGCAGGAACGACAGGAGTGAAGTCATCTCGTAGGGAAGGTGAGGAGGGTCGTCGTCTTCTCCGCCGATCCCTTTGTAGTGCCAAGCTTTGTGGAAGGAGATGGAGAGTCGCGGCGGCAAGTCTGGTGTTACTCGGAGAACATCGACATCCATCATCTGAGACTTACCCCACGACCGAGGATGGGGGAGAGTCGGAGGGAGAGGATCTTGTTGGTGCGTCGGCAATCAGAAACCATGTACCGTGGTGGGAAAGAGGTGACGGCGGCGAGCAGGGGAAGAGGGAAATCGAGGGAGAGAGAAGGAGAAAGGGAGAAAAAGTGGGATTGAATTTTGAATTAGGGGCGTGAACCATTTTTCCCTAGATTCTTTCCATTTTCCAATATAGTGAGAGAAACTTATTGTGTAATTAATACCCAATAAACAACTGATTAATCCTTACCATTGAATTAGATGAACGGTATCCAAGAGGGGTGTCAAAAACTAGACCCCCTTAGGAGGGTAGTCACGCTAACCGCTCCCAGAGGTCTTCCTTGTTGTCCATTGAGAACGAAAGGCGAGGGCTTTTAATTGCTTCCACCAGCTGTCCTTTTTCATCCAATCACTCTTCTTTCCTTTTAACCAAAATCAAATTTCTTCCTCGTGAAACCGAAACATAATTCTTTATTATCTCTATGGAAAAGAAATTAAATGAGTTTTCAATTGTCCAACCTTTTGCGTTGAAAGGCGACGAACAAGGGAACCAATATTGCCCAACCTCTTAATTTTTGTCTTCCCTTGAAGCTCGTACTTATATGTCAGTGAGGGTACTTGGCTAATGTTCTAGAATCAATTCCTAGAAATTCCAAATGGTGTTGGTGATTTTTTTTGTTAGGCGGTGGAGTGGTGATCATTTATTTTGTTACTTAGTAGTATGTTTATAAGTTGCTTAATTAGTTGTTTCCTGTTTTATTTTATTGGTTTAGTTTGTTATGTGCTTCTTAGATACCACATTTTTTAGTTGTTATTATACTTGAGATTTTTTGCCATTTGTTTTGCAAGTCTTGGCACCACAATATTGTTTGGTTTTATGTGTGTTTAGAATGATTTGTAGAGCTAGTATTTGTGTTTGTATATATAATTTGGTTTTTAAAGAAATTAATTTGGTATTTGGTATATACTGATACAGACTTTGGTATTTAAATACGGATATCGTACTGATTTCCACTACTATTCATTTGTTTGTTTCTATCATTTGGTTGTATAGTTTATACAATTGGTTTTATACTTTTATGATATTGTATTTACCATTTATACAATGTCACTTTATGGTATACTTACGATATGGTTCATGTCCTTCACAATTTATATTAGTAAACATATATAATATAGTTTACATACTTTTATAATCTGTTTTGTATACTTTATGTTAATGTTAATGGTTTGTATATTTTTATCTTCCAATTTTTTGTACTTTTATTATGGGCTGTGGTTTTTAGACTTTGAAGTATTGGTTTCATTATTTTATATTGTTATTTTGTATATATTTATCATCTTGTTTATGTAATTTGTGTAATTGGTCTATATAATTTTATGATATGATTTGTATATCTTTTAATATTAATTTGTATATTTTATGACATAATTTGGACACTTATATTTTATTGTTTGTATACCTTCTAGTATTAGTTACCATACTTTTATTATATGGTTTGTAATTTATGTATTTATAGCTTGTATACTTTTATGCTCTGCATTGTATACTTTTGGGTGTTATTTTGTAATACTTGTCTAGTTACAAATAGAATTTATAAAAAGGAGGTTGGGGACCGGTTAGCGTGACTACCCCTAAAAGGGTATGATTTTCGACACTCATCTTCTTTACCGTCCATTCTCACTTCTGTTAATCTAGTGGTACTAACAAAATCATTATTGATCTCATATTCTATCACTGAATTGATAGTTCTGATTATCGTGTGTACCAATGGCAACAGGAATGGCAAGGACTAATAGACCGTATCCTGCAGTTCCAACAGGGAAGAGGCTTGCAATCTATGTTTCTAGGGTATAAGTTGGGGTAGGCCAGACTCCTTCCTCGAGTAAGGGTACCAGCAAGAAACGACGTCGTGAGAGCTGGGATAAGGACAACAAGATAGGGGAAGAGGAAACATACCGATGATGTTAGCGGCAAGAAGTGCATCCCACAAACAATTTCTTAGTGACTTGATGTTTATTAGTTACATTTGCTGGATATTTTATAGTTGTTGGCATTTCCCTTTTTTTATAACACATTGTACTGCACGGTTAGTGGTAATACTAATGAGAAGTTGCTTGTTTGTTTACGTATAAGATTGGTTGTACATGTATCAGTTCAGTGATACATGTATCAATGCAGTGGTGTGTGTATCAGTTCACTGGTATATATATATATATAGTGCGTTCTACGGTACCCCCGGATGTGCGATACCCCGGATTTCACCCTGGGTACTGTAGAACTTCCCATATATATATATATAAGTTCAGTGATACATGTACCATTTCAATGACATAAATCCAAAGTATATCTAACACTACAATGTGAACATTTAGGATGGGTTTCAATTTTGCTAATGGTACAAGTAGAAAAGATCTAATACTGCAAGTGGGTGATCACATTTTGGTATGGAAAGTATGACTTGAATAATTTCACTGGTACTTGTATCAGCCTAGTGGTACATGTACCACTTCAGTGATACATATATCAGTACAATGGTATATGTACCACAACAGTGGTACATATTCACGGCAGTGTCGTCGTTTGCCAGACGCTATAGGGTTGCACTTCACGGCAGAGAGCGACAAAAAATGACGTGTAGTTCAGAGGAGAGAAAGACTATACTTGATTTTCCGTTATTTAAACTTCCAACAAACAATTTCATAGTGAATTCATGTTTATTTGTTGCATTGGCTGGATATTTTATTGTTATTGGCATTTTCCTTTTTTTGATAACAGATTCTACTCCACTATTAGTGGTGATACTAATGGGAAGTTGTTGGTTTGTTTACGTATCAGATTGGTTGTACATATATCTGTTCAGTGGTACATGTATCAGTTCATTGGTACATCAGTTCAGTGATACATGTACCATTTCAATGGTACCACTCCAAAGTCTATCGAACACTGCAAAGGGAACATTTAGGATGAGTTTCGATTTTGCTAATGGTACAAGTTCAATATATCTAACACTACAAGTGGGTTGTTGCATTTTGGTGTTGAAAGTATGGCTTGAATAGTTGCACTCGTACTGGTATCAGGTCAGTGGTACATGTACCAGATCAATACTTGTTCACAATAGTGCCGACGTCTCCTAGACGTTGTAGAGTTGAACTTCACTACAGGGAGCGGTAAGTAACAACCAGCCGTCGCCCTTCATGTTCTTAACGACAGGAAACCCCCAGACATTCTTCTTCATCTCCGTGGATTCTCTGCCGCCTTTCATGTTCTTAACGACCCGCCGCCGTCCTTCATGTTCTTCTTCATCCCATATATCTCGTCCTCCGTCGACGATCAACCCACAACGCATGTCGGAGGTGATCCCACCGCGCCAATGGCCGATGGTTTCTAGTCGCCATTGATTTCTGCAGAGGAAAGGGCCACCGTCAAAATCTGCAAAGGAGAGGGATGTGTTGCTATTTTTCGGGAGAAATATGAGGAATATGGTAAAGTAGAAATTACACTTTCCCCATCCAACAATATTGCAGCTTCCCTACTCATAATTAATGTTTTCCCAATTTACAAGATTACAAACAATAAAATAAAAAATAACTTTCATTAATAATTAATACAACTTGCCAAATGATTGAATGGAAAAGTGACCAATCAAGAAGAGAGTGTCAAAAAGCAGCCCCTTTAGGGGGTTAGCATAGTATTCAATCCCGGGAGGTTGATAAAAAAATGAGGAAGGAAGAAAAGCACAAGAAGAGAAAATAAGAGGAAAAGAGGGATTCGAGTGTAGATAGAGCAGAGCGGCGTGAGAGAAGAATCAGAAAAAATATAAAATATTGTTGATTTTTTTCATAATGTTATAATTACTCCTACTACTCATGATTTTTTAAATTCAATCATTAGATTTATAAATCTAGATCTAAGTATAGGAGAGGTTTAGCGAGCAAGCAAACTGATATTTTAGTCTTATAATAATGGTTTAATCAGTAGCATATTGTTGTAATGTCAAAAATCAAATAATTTATCCAACTGGCATCATAATGGTGTGATGCTTAAACCCGGTCAATATTACTATAGATTGCCAATTTAAGTGAGTAAAACTGACTGACACGATTTGTTGTAGGTAACATTTATGTATAAAACCGGTCTGAATTACAGTAAGCGATTTTTACGGTCTACTATGTAATAGGGTTATAGGTATAATATGCCCTTCTACTATGGCGCTTTATCAAACATGTCCATTTTCTATTTTTTACATTAAACATGCCCCTATACTTTGTAAAAATAATCAAACATACCTTTTTGTTAAAAATTTCATCCAAAAACTGTTAACCATGGCCGGACTTTAGTTTGGGCGACACAAATGACTAAAATATCCCTGAAAAATTCACTTTAGAATTTTTTTGGTTCTTTTGTATAATCAAATCATGCAAATAATTTCACTTTGAAAAGACCCAGGGTAATCAAACAGGGGACAAAACTGATATTTTCCCACCCATTTGCCGATATCGGGTCGTCTAAATCTCGATTCAACCATGATTGACAATTTTTTCAATGAAAATTTTAACAGAAGGGCATGTTTGATAATTTTTTTAAAGTACAGAGGCATATTTAATGTAAAAAAATATTAAAGGAACATGTTTGATAAAACGTCATAGTAGAGGAGCATATTATACATATAACCCTATGTAATAATATGTTGTGCAGTGGAAACTTCGCGTGATTAATGCACAAAGAACAACAAAAAGATCAAATAGAACCAAACATTTGTTACTTCATGTTATGCACAAATTCGGAGGTCATATGGAGGAGAAACGTCATCTAGAAGTTCAAGCCCAAATGTGGTTGCCAAAACTTGGGAACAGGCTAGAGATTGGAAGTGTCGTCAAGGGTCGGTTAGCATGCTAACTCCCCTGAGGGTTGGAAAATGACACCCTGGGGTATTAAATATAATTATAAAATTTAATAAACACATTAAATACACATTAGGAATTAAATGCATCATATTAATTAAATTTTTTTTTTCAAATTAAAACCTACACTAAATACATTCTCTATCCCTATATCTGATTTTTCATTTGTCAGCAGCCTCCGACCGCCACACTTCTCCGGTGAAAATCTCATCGGCAGAGTCCCTCTGACCACCTGCAAAAAATATATCAATGCACTGATACGTTGTACCACTGCAGTGGTAGCGATTTCAGTGCACTGGTACCAATGTCATATCTGAGAATCAGTGCAGTGGTACAAATAC